GAGAAATTAGATCGTATTTTGGTGACAACCGAATGGGAACAAAAATTTCCATTGGCTTAATCGTCAGAGCTCTCACTTGAGAAATCACTGATCACACACCACTCTTACTTGATGTAAGGGAACCATCTCACAGAGGCAACACTAGGAATTTTAAATTTGAGCTAGGGTGGTTGACAAGGGATGGTTTTTTTGATTTGGTAAAAGAGGTGTGGGAGTCTGCGAATAGGGGTAGAACACCCTTGGAACGGTGGCAGTCTAAGATAAGGAGGTTGCGACGTTTTCTAAGAGGTTGGGCTAGAAATTTAGTCTCCCAAAACAAGAAACATAAGCTAGACCTGATGGATAAAATAGATATCCTCGATAGAAAGGCAGAAACAGATTTGCTATCATCTCAGGAGATAGAGCTTAGATACCATCTTAAAGGCAATTAACTAAGTTGCTAAGAGAGGAGGAGATTTATTGGCTCCAACGATCAAAAGCAACAAAGTTGTTGCAGGGAGATGATAATACTAAGTATTTTCATATGATAGCAAATGAGAGACATAGAAAAACAAAAATCACACAACTAGAACACGAAGAAGGAATTATTGTTGGGGTGCGAATTTGAAAGATTATATAACCGATTACTACAAAAGATTGTTTGGACCTCATTTACAGAATTCTTTCTCATTGGACGAGACTTTGAGGCATGATATACCTCAAGTGTCGGAGGAGGAGAATGAAGTATTGGTGGCTCCATTCAGTGAGGAAGAGGTCAAAATGGCAATCTTTGATATGGAACATAATAAGGCACCAGGTCCGGATGGCTTTCTGTGAGAATTTTATCAATTCTTTTGGGATGTTGTCAAGCAAGATTTGATGAGTCTCTTTTATGAATTTTATATGGGAGACTGTATATTCATAGTTTAAATCTTGGGGTAATTACACTATTACCCAAGACCATGGATGCGGCTAGGATACAACAGTACAGACCTATTTGTCTCTTAAACGTGTCGTTCAAGGTTTTTACGAAGGTGTTAAATAATATAATTTTGAAAGTGGCAGATAAATTGATAGGTCCGTCTCAGACGGTGTTTATTCCGGGAAGATTTATAATGGAAGGTGTTGTAATACTACATGAAACAATACACGAGCTGCATAGGAAAAAGAAAGATGGAGTGATTCTAAAGCTAGATTTCGAAAAAGCAAATGATAATCTTAAGTGGCCTTTTATACAACAAGTCCTCAGAATGAAAGGATTCTCACCGGTTTAGTGTGAATGGATTTCAAAAGTCATGTCTAGAGGGAGTGTTGCAGTAAAGGTCAATGATAATTTAGGCCATTATTTCCAAACAAGAAAAGGAGTGCGGCAAGGGGACCCGTTATCTCCAATCTTGTTTAACATAGTGGTTGACATGCTGGCTATACTCATTTCACGAGCAAAAGAGGCCGAACAAATCCGTGGAGTGGTTCCGCATTTGGTCGATGAAGGACTCTCAGTCCTTCAGTATGCGGATGACACTGTTATCTTTTTGGATAATGATTTAGAGAGGGCCAAAAACATGAAGCTCTTGCTTTGTGCCTTTGAGCAATTATGGGGACTAAAAATCAATTTCCATAAGAGCGAATTATTTTGTTATGGAGCAGCTAATGCTAATCAATTGGACTATACACAAATTTTTGGGTGTAATGTAGGATCATTCCCTTTTAGATATCTAGGAATTCCTATGCATCATCGAAAACTAATGAATAAGGACTGAAAACATGTGGAAGAAAGATTTCAAAAGAGACTGAGTGGTTGGAGGAGTAAGATGCTTTCGGTGGGTGGAAGGCTTGTCCTCATTAACTCGGTTCTGAGTAGTCTTCCTATGTTCATGATGTCTTTCTTTGAAATACCTAGAGGAATTTTGAAAAAAATAGATTATTTTAGATCTCGGTTCTTTTGGCAAAGCGATGAACATAAGAAGAAATATAGATTGACAAAATGGGAAGTAGTATGTACACCAAAAGACCAAGGAGGATTGGGTGTCCTAAATCTAGGTGTCCATAATAAATGCCTCTTAAGCAAGTGGCTTTTCAAACTGATAAATGGTGATGGTGTTTGGTAAAAGTTGCTTAAAAATAAGTATTTAAGGGACAAGACTTCCACTCAGGTTCAATACATGTCCGGGGACTCAGTTTTGGGCTGGCCTTATGAAGGTCAAGGGTGAGTTCCTGTTGATGGGTAGGTTTGATCTAGGTGATGGATCCCAAGTGTGTTTTTGGGAGGATTCGTGGATAACGCCACACCCTTTCAAGACGCTCTTCCTGTCACTATATAACATTGTGAGAAAGAAAAGTGCATCTGTTAGGACGGTACTATCTACGACGCCGTTAAATGTAGCTTTCAGGAGATCTCCGATGGGGGTTAATTTGCAAGCATGGCACAATGTAGTGGCCATGGTTGCAGATGTACACTTAACAAACCAAAGGGATCGCTTTGTGTGGGGGCTGCATCAGAAAGGGTTGTTTTCAGTTAATTCCATGTACAGAGCATTATTCGGTGTACAGGCTTTACCTTACAACACTTTAATTTGAAAACTTAAACTACCTCTCAAGATTAAAGTCTTTATGTGGTGTTTATACAAAGGCGTAATCTTGACTAAGGATAATTTAGCTAGGCAACAGTGGCAAGGAGATAGGAAGTGTTGTTTCTGTTCCACTAATGAGACCATACAACATTTACTCTTTGACTGTCATTATGCTAAATTTATGTGGAGAATTGTTCTTATTTCCTTTAACCTGAAACCCCCAACTAGTGTACACAATTTGTTTACAGGTTAGTTGGAAGGGTTAAATAGGAAAAGGAAGTCTCAAATTCTAGTGGGTGCAAGTGCCATTTGCTTGGCTCTTTGGTTAACTCAAAATGATGTTGTGTTTGACAAAGTCATAGCACCGTCTTATTTGTAGGTTATCTTCAAGGGAATGTATTGGACCAGGTACTAGACATTACTTTAGAAGGAGGAGGATCGCCATTTCATGAAGGCGGGCTGTAGGATTATTGAGACGGCCGCGATGGAGGTGTTTGCTAGACACGGCTGGCGTTTTAGCAACAGAATTGCTCTTTAGTCTTCCCTTTTCAGATTTCTGTTGTATTCATGGTTCAAAACTTCGTGTTTGAGATTCCTTAGACTTTTTTTTTGCTCGCTTATAATAATAAACAGCCATATGCATTAGTCGATGCAGAAGCTAGAATATTAATATATTCTCTTTTCATATATATATATAGAGAGTGAATATATATATATATATATATATATATATATATATATATATATATATATATATATATATATATATATATAGAGAGAGAGAGAGAATCAAAGTCGATCGTCTTCCATGCATGCATGGATATTGGATGCATGCATGCATGCAATATTCCTGGGCGGCCAGCAGCACGCAAAGGGCTACATACGCGTTGCGTGCGTGCATGCACATGCATGGCAACAGAGGCCTAGTTTAGATTGTAAGTTTTTTCACTCTCTCTCCATCACATCAAATCTTTAGACACATGTATGTAGTATTAAATGTAGATAAAAAAATAACTAATTACACAGTTTAATTGTAAATTACGAGACGAATCTTTTGAACCTAGTTAGGTCATGATTGGACAATAATTATCAAATACAAACGAAAGTACTACAGTACCAAATACTGATTCCTAGCTCCAATCTAAACAAGACCACATAGAGAAATTCAAGCAAGTTTAAAGGTGCACGTGCGGAGAGAATAGACCCTGTCCGGATTTGGGTCTGCGATATGCGATGCGAGTGAGCGCGACAGTTCCAGCCAGCTCTGATCCATCTCGCCATCTTTTCCTCAGGCAACAAGCAAAGATGGCATGCAAGGGAAAAAATTTAAAAGGACCCCGGGTACATCTATAATGTACCCATCACACATGCTATTACACTTTAAAACAAAGTTGAAAAAGAGGAGAGGGGTGGGGGGTGGGGTGTAACAAGCAAGAAAAGGCTAAAACTCATTATATGTACAAATTAAAGCATGGCTGGATCAAACCATATATATACACTTCAAACGTGTAGACGGTAAACAAAGGCCAACACTTTGTTTACATAAGATAATTATGGATCAAACCATGCAGTGTGAGGCTAGAAAAAATATGGGCCCCACGAACGAGGAATTGTCATCGGTGTTACTAGGCTACAGTGTAGAACCTCACTTAATTCACTTATTTACTGTTTCATGGGGTCCCATCAACCAATAAAAAATTAATTCAAATACCCTATCACACGCTTCCGCTGCTCACCTTGCTTTATTTGGGCCTATTCCTTTTTGGCATTGGTTCTTATAGTTGCGCGGCTCCCAATAATTTGACACCAGCATCACTGACCTGCAGTGTTGGAAGTGATGCTCATATACTCTCTCACCTCTTCAAGCTTCACTCTAAGCCAACACTGCGAAAGGCCTAAGGCCCTACAAGTATAGGTACTGCTCATGATTTTTACTCAAATTTAAACACGTGTCTCAAATCATCTCGTGTCAAGTCTCAAATTAAATCCTGTTATTATGCCCCGGTTTGGAAATGGATAGGATAAGGAAATCAATGCGCTTTGTGTATCTAAAACTAATGTGCCGGAAATCAAGGTCCTATTTGAATGTTGTAGTGTCAAAACCATAATTCCATGCAAACACTTCATGGTACTAAAAACCAAAGTATTTCACAAAACCATGGCATATGTTTCTAAAACTCAAAAATACTTTGTATCCCAACATGCCCAAATTAAAGCCGCATAGAACTTTTCGAAGCATCGAACTTTTTTTCCAATAAAAATATGATATTAACAATGAAATAAAAAGAGTTGTTGAGTAGCAATAATACCGGTTATTACAACATGATGTTGAGCAGCTAGCAGAATAAAACCCAAATGTAATAATGGAGCATTAGTTACATAGGTGGACAATTGTTTTGACATGATAATAATAATGCTAGCTAGCTAGCTCCCATCTTGACACATGCCCTATTATTTACTTGCCCACTTCCGAATTGCTGGGAGACCAAGGATTATTATGTACGACCAAAAGTGTACCAAGACATAAAACAATATTTGTCGTACGTAAGCCCGTACTGGAAATCGCCGTATCCCAATTCGAGCACGGACCGTGTTTGCCCCACAGGTGATCCGCCAAGCTTCCACGTTTCCCCAGAGCAAAGATGCAAAAATGATGACGCAGACAGTCACTGCAATTGTATGATCAACTGGAGCCAGCACCGGGTACAAGGCCAAGGCGAAAGCGGCCACGAAACTCCTTCCTGCACTCTGCAGCAACACGGCCGAAATGTTGAAGTAGTAGTTGCGGATGGAGATGGCCATGGCCGGCACCCCGGCATAGACAAGGCTAAAGGTAGCCAAGGTGGAGCAGACGAATGCCAAGGTGTCGGCAAGGATAAAGGCGTCGAAAACATAGCTCCCAGCAAGCACCGGCGTCCCAGCGTGATTATTGCTAGATGAGTCCCCGACGGATCGATAACCACCAGGCAACGTGAAAGCTGATGCAAATGTGACGGTCGCAATAAGTACGGCGACAATGCTCATCACTTGCGTTGCATCTGTATGTTTCTGTGACTCTTTGTCCTCGTCTCCTTTGGTGATGTGTTGTTCACAGAAGAGCTCCGGCCGGCCTCCACCATGAGGAGCTCCTGCAAAGAGCAATGAAAGCCGTACAACACTTCTTGGATTCTGCAAGAGTACGTGAGTATTATTGAATGGATATACCTTACTGTCACTAAATTAACTAGCAAACATGTTCAGTGTTGCAACAGTACGTGCAGCTTGTTGCGTGATCACATGAATGATTTGTGGCTAAAAGATTTATTCAAGGATAGCGTCTTTTAATCTGTCTCGGAATCAAATTCCGTACTATGACTGCTCTAACTGGTACGGGTATGAGAGGGTTAGAGATTTATAAATAATAGTGTCATGCGTTCTAATGTGTTTTATGATCAGACTCACACCATGCCTGAAAATTCTGCTGTGTAACTTGTAAGGAGGGCATGTGAGAGAGTGGCGGACACATGCTGCTCTAACTTGTATGGATATAGTAAATGCTCCACACTTCAATTTGTTTTGGAACTGGACTCAATATCGTGTTTGGACACACTGCTCTAACTCATAATGACATAAGAGATACTAGGTCCGTCGGATCCCTGTTGGAATGGTTGCGAGTGATCCTTTATTACATCAGCATTTACTATGTGCTTTGGAATTTATTTGATTTAAGATTGTGCCAAGTTCCAATTTAATCCAACAAAATAGCTAGCTCTCATTGATACGAACACCGTGCAACAAACTGTATGTCCCGTTGCCACCCGTGGGCCTATTTGCGTAATATTAAATACGATAAATTTCTTTTTCTTTCCGTCAGTCACTCTCTCGGTTGTCTATCCATCCCTTATTCTCCCCCTTCTCGCTTTTAAGGATAAAAAAACAGAGACTCACTATCGGGATTTAGAGCTGCAAAACCTTAACTAGCACCGCATCACTCATATAGTCTGGTCACATGAGCTCGTGAGCAATGCATGCGTAGTTGCGTGGCTTGTTGCCTTTCGCCCTTTTTTAAACTGACAACGGTTGTATACAATACAATAGTCACCCATTTAAGGCGAGTTTTAATTTTCCTATGATTAATAATTTTTTTATTATACTAGCATTTATAACGGTCTTTATAACTTGTTTGATTTAAGGTAGGTGTCCTAAGCCTAATTAAATCGAACAAAATGACTAAAAATAACTATAAATAAATAACTAGAGAGAGAGAGAGAGAAGAGAATTTGAGGAAATAAACGAGCTAGCTGCTTCGAACCGAGAAAAGGATCGGATATTTACTTACAAGCACGTAATAAAGAATTGCTGAAGGGTCATACTCCATGAAAGATCCAGTGGTGTCATCCCGTCTTTATTTGTCACGTCCAAGCGTACCCGTGGATTCCGAAGTAAACAGTTGAAGACGGCAAGGTTCCCATAACGGACAGCGCCGTGCAGCGCAGTGTCCCCGTTGTTGTCCTGCGCATTCAGAATCATCGATGAAAATCGCTGTGGCATTTTTCCACAGACATATCGAACCACATCGTGGCATCCCTCCTCGGCGGCGACATGGAGGAACGTCCGTCCTTTGCCATCTCGCAGGGTGGCGCAGTCCGGACACCTCCCCAGCAGGATCACGATAACGATGCTGTTAGACCATGCAGCGACGTGTATGGGGTAGGATCCTTCGTCGTCCGCCTGATATGCCATGGATATGTTAGCATCCAGTAGCAGTGTAGCCACTGATTCCGCCGTCGGCCAAACTTGGGGAAACCGTGTGCAAAGAAACCCCGCGCCTGGCCACCCGGACAAGGACGCGGCCAAGTGAAGAGGGTGCTTCCTTCTGCTTCTTGTCCCTTTCGCTAGTCAGTCGCGACACAAGAGACACAGTACTACTGTCTTCTTTAGGCTTCATGTCCTTGATGAGCCATTCCAAAATCATAGGCAGCGCTGCAGCCAAGAGAGAGGAAGATTAAACCGCATGTATTTACGAGTAGCAACTAACCTGCTAGCTTAGTTTAATTAGCTTTACCTTGGCCACGATGAACCGCTGCATGCAAGACGTTACGGCCATGTGGTCCGGAATAGGACAGCTTGCCGCCTTTAGTCTTGCTATACAGGTGCCGCGCAATCTCGACTTCACCCAGTGAGATAGCCAAGTACAACGGGGAAGCACCAGCATCTTCCTCCTGATGTGGGAATGGGATGCAGGCCAGCTCCGAATCCACGTCCATCAGCTGGTCGATGCAGGCCACCTTAAGCTTGTTGTCGGCAGCGGCGCGGATGGCCTGGTGCAACGCGGTCTCTCCACACTCGTTCTGCATCCTCAGGAACGCCTTCTTCACCGGTGCCCCCGCCTCGTCGTCGGTGGTGTCGTTGGCGATGAGATCAACGAGGCAAGAGATCATGCTGGCGTTCCCAGCACCGGCGGCGCAGTGCAGGGGCGTGTCGCCCTTGCGGTTGCGCGCTTCCAGGGCTAGGCGCGCTGCATCTGCACCGCCCTTGCGCTTCTTGTTGCGGACCAGTATTTTGGCGCAGTCGAGGTACTCCTGCGTGTCGCCGCATGCCGCAACCACGTGCAGCAGGGAGTCCCCTTCCATGGTCACACCATCCTCATCAAGGACTACCGGGACTGGCGGCGGTGACGACGATCCAGAGGAGGGTAGTGGTGCAACAGCATCATGAGGAGGAGGTCGAGGATCGACTTCCACTACCACGTCTTGTGCTCCCGCCGCCACGGACGAGCTTTGCTGCTCGTCGTCGTCCTTGATCAGCGGCAGCAGATCCTTGAGCTGTTTGCTGTCGCCGCGGCGAGCAGCCATCAACAGCTGCGCATCAAGCGTGGCCGCCGGCGGGCGGGCAGTTGCGGGGCCGGGTGGTGTTGGCTCACCGGCACCAGCAGCAGCCTGCTGCTCGCTTTCGTTAGCGGCTGCCATGGCGGACATCGATCGATCGATCGCTGTGTGCCTGTGTGTGAATCAACTATCGGCCGGATATATGTGTTGGTACGGTGATTCACTTGGGTTGACCCTTGACCGTTTACCCGAGTCTGTGCTGTTACACCGGCGGTGACCTGTACCATCAACAGCTAGCTCCGTCGTGTAAGCTACGACTGACAGCACAGAGATTTCCGGCTGCCTGCAGCATCGAACCAAACCTGTCGTTGTTTTAGTTTACTTCTTCGCTTCCGTTCTAGCTTGCGTCGTCGTCGGCTTGCTGACAACGTAACTCATCATCAACTGAACCATCTGCGAATTGTACGTCTGTTTGACTGATGCGGACGTTGTTTGTGCGTGACTTCGTTTACTTTGACACGCACTGCCGCGCGCCTGCCGTCACCGTCCTTAAAAAGAAATAGTTTTTCCTCAACTGATTTAAGTCTCATTTATTTACTTAATGTTAGATCTTAAATCATATATATATACAGAAATAGGGATACATGCTAGGAAACACGATCCCCAGTTCAATTGTTCATTCCTTAGCTTACTTGAACACTGCGATTGTTTAATCTTAACTGAATCTACAAGTATCTTGCAAATTGTTTTTTTCATACATATCATAACCGACATGATTTTCCCAACGTCACCGACCAGATGCTACAATTGATGGATGATGTGAACGTATAAAAAAACAGTTAGCAGGATGGGGTTTAAATGTTTGCTGCTTCACTACCACAATCCCGAATTACCTTGAGTGCCAAAAACCACCAAGAAAAGGGCCTCAACCGCCAAGGAAATGATCCTTGGCCACAAACCGTCAAGCAAACTCACTCAAGGATAGAAGACAATGGAAATTAGTTTCATTGACGATTTTGGCACTCAAGGATGATTTCCTTGGAGGCTGGCTGCCATGAAAACTAGCACCCTACTTAATTCGCCAAAATAACAAGGAAATGTTACAACCGCCAAGTAAATTAGTTTTCTTGAGGGTCGACAACCTCCAAGGAAACACTCTAGACCGCCAAGATAATTGTTGTTTCCTTGGTTACCCTTCACCTACAAGGAAATTATAGTTTTCCTTGACCGTCGTTAACCGCCAAGGTAATTCTGATTTCCTTTAGGGTCAGCCCCCAAGGAAATCTATACTAGCAATAAAAAAATAAATGTTGGTCCTTGATCAGCGGCAGCAGATCCTTGAGCTGTTTGCTGTCGCCGCGGCGAGCAGCCATCAACAGCTGCGCATCAAGCGTGGCCGCCGGCGGGCGGGCAGTTGCGGGGCCGGGTGGTGTTGGCTCACCGGCACCAGCAGCAGCCTGCTGCTCGCTTTCGTTAGCGGCTGCCATGGCGGACATCGATCGATCGATCGCTGTGTGCCTGTGTGTGAATCAACTATCGGCCGGATACATGTGTTGGTACGGTGATTCACTTGGGTTGACCCTTGACCGTTTACCGGAGTCTGTGCTGTTACACCGGCGGTGACCTGTACCATCAACAGCTAGCTCCGTCGTGTAAGCTACGACTGACAGCACAGAGATTTCCGGCTGCCTGCAGCATCGAACCAAACCTGTCGTTGTTTTAGTTTACTTCTTCGCTTCCGTTCTAGCTTGCGTCGTCGTCGGCTTGCTGACAACTCATCATCAACTGAACCATCTGCGAATTGTACGTCTGTTTGGCTGATGCGGACGTTGTTTGTGTGACTTCGTTTACTTTGACGCACTGCCGCGCGCCTGCCGTCACCGTCCTGAAAAAAAAAATAGTTTTTCCTCAACTGATTTAAGTCTCATTTATTTACTTAATGTTAGATCTTAAATCATATATATACAGAAATAGGGATACTTGCTAGAAAACACGATCATATCCCCAGTTCAATTGTTCATTCCTTAGCTTACTTGAACACTGCGATTGTTTAATCTTAACTGAATCTGCAAGTATCTTGCAAATTTATTTTTCCCTACATATCATAACCGACATGATTTTCCCAACGTCACCGACCAGATGCTACAATTGATGGATGATGTGAACATATAAAAAACAGTTAGCAGGATGGGGTTTAAATGTTTGCTGCTTCACTACCACAATCCCGAATTACCTTGAGTGCCAAAAACCACCAAGAAAAGGGCCTCAACCGCCAAGGAAATGATCCATGGCCACAAACCTGTCAAGCAAACTCACTCAAGGATAGAAGACAATGGAAATTAGTTTCCTTGGCGATTTTGGCACTCAAGGATGATTTCCTTGGAGGCTGGCTGCCAAGAAAACTAGCACCCTACTTAATTCGCCAAAATGACAAGGAAATGTTACAACCACCAAGTAAATTAGTTTTCTCGAGGGTTGACAACCTCCAAGGAAACACTCTAGACCTCCAAGATAATTGTTGTTTCCTTGGTTGCCCTTCACCTACAAGGAAATTATAGTTTTCCTTGATCGTCGTTAACCGCCAAGGTAATTCTGATTTCCTTGAGGGTCAGCCCCCAAGGAAATCTATACTGGCAATAAAAAAATAAATGTTGTAATCAATATATGCTAATATTTCAGTCACTATACTCAATTGACACATGATGACATGCATATAGGCATTTTGTTATGGAGCCCAACCATTATATTGGCATTAACATACCCATAAGAATATTACAAGTGCATTTATCATTCATCCTTACATGAAGTCCATACATCATAACACACAAGTCATTAATAGTTTCCAAAGTTTATGTCAACTCTCAAGGAATACATATTTCCTTGGAGATCTATGTAAACCGCCAAGAAAACTACCCTTTCCTTGGCGCACTACTACTGAGAATGGACTTGTTATCCCGGCGGTAACGGCCTTTAGTCCCAGTTACCGACGGGACGACAATCCGGGACTAAAGGTGCCACCTTTAGTCCCGGGTCATCAGTTGAGGCTAAGAGGGACCTTTAGTCCCGGTTGGTGTTACCAACAGGACTAAAGGCCCTCCACCGAAAGCAACGTGGTCAAGCACCCTTTAGTCCCAGTTGGTAACCCCAACCGGGACTAAAGGTTCCTTTTCTTTTTCTCTTTTTTGTTTAATTTGTTTTCGATTCAGTTACACGTATTTGTTTAATATATAATATGTTTTTATATACGTATTCTACGCTGCTAATATAAATACACGCACGCATATAATTACATCTAATTCTCATCTCGAGCATTATTATATTCGAATAAAGTATGAACCTATATATATTATAGATATATATATATATGTATATATACAACACTTTCATAATCTTGTTGCACGTTGAATAGTAACGGCGTATTGAAACAAGATCATTGAGAACTTACTTGATGAAAGGTTGCACCTCAGTAAGGTTATTCAACACGTATAACATGATACTGCGCCACTCTTTATTTGTCAAGATCATAACGGTCGATCCACTTGTGCTACCGAGTTGTCCTTGGAAAAGGCCGAGGGTCGATTCATTTTCATCAGCATTGTAACGAGGGAGTGGATTTTGATTGCTAGGAAGGTTCGGCTTGTAGTACAGCGTTGTGAAGTTTGCCACCTCCTCCCGCAGGTATGCCTCTGCAACGGAAGCCTCAATTCTGGCTTTATTTGTACATTTCTTGCGAATAGTCTTTAGTCCTCTCTCGACTGGAAAGCACCAACGAAACTGCACAGGCCCCCCCAAACGTACTTCAGTGGGAAGGTGCACGATCAGATGCTGCATCGGCAAGAAAAAGCCGGGTGGGAAGATCTTCTCCAGCTTACAGACCAACACAGGTGCCACCTTTTCCAATTCCATAGCGATGTTCCGAGATATCTCCTTAGCACACAGCAGGCGAAAGAAATAGCTCAACTCTGCCAACACTTTCCAGACATGCTCAGGGACGTAGCCTCGGACCATTGCAGGGAGAAGCCGCTCAATCCATATATGGTAGTCATGACTCTTCATCCCGTTGACTCGCAAAGTGCCTAAGTTCACTCCCCTGCTCAGATTAGCGGCATAGCCATCTGGGAACATCAAGTTCTTGATCCATTAAAGTACTTCCCTCCTGGCATCTATTTTCAAGATGAAATCCACCTTAGGCTTTTTCCACTTCTTGTTTCGACCACTAGGAGGTTGCATCTCTTGTTTTTTCCTATCGCACAACGTCGCCAGGTCCACTCTAGCCTTAACATTGTCCTTAGATTTCTCTGTATTCATGAGAGTTGCCCAAAGTGCCTCGGCGATATTCTTTTCGGTGTGCATTACATCAATGTTATGTGGCAGAAGAAGGTCATCGAAATAGGGTAGCCTGGTCAAGCCGGACTTATGAGTCCACATATGTTCCTCACCATAACCCACAAAACCACCTCCTTCGTTGGGCACGAGAGCATCTATCTGAGCATGAACCTCGGCACCACTCCTGATGTGGGGTTTAGGGTATGTCACTGCAACACCTTTTGTAAAGTTCTTGATGTCTTGTCTGAATGGATGTTCAGAAGGGAGGAATTGACGATGCTTGTCGAACGACGAATACTTGCCACCCTTTTCAACCAAATAAACCTCACAGCTTTCTTGCATACTGGGCACGGGAACTTCCCGTGAACACACCAGGCGCAGAATAACCCATACGCCAGGAAATCATGCAGAGAGTAGTGATACCAAACGTACATTTTGAAGCTTGACCTTGTAGCTCGGTCGTATGTCCATACCCCTCCCCAAGCTTTTATCAATTCGTCAATCACAGGCTCCATGAACACTCCCATATTACTTCCTGGGTGTCCAGGAATTATCAACGACAAAAATACGTTCTGTCGTTGGAAGGCGATGCCAGGGGGGAGGTTGAGAGGGATAGTGAACACAGGCCAACATGTGTATGGGGAAGACATCAATCCATAAGGATTGAATCCATCTGTTGCGAAGGCGACACGTACATTCCGAGCCTCAGCTGCTTTCTCAGGATGTCGATCATTAAAGTACTGCCATGCTTCAGCATCGGATGGATGAACCATCTTGTCTGGATTGTACCGCTTGCCATTCTTGTGCCATGTCAT